CTATATTCCAAACTTTGAATTAGTCACACACGATAGCTCCTGCTCATTGGAGGATGCCTGACATATACAAATTTTCTGAGTCAATTACAGTTGGTCATTCTTGATCCAGGGTGATGGCTAGGCTCTCAGACCCTTGGTAGATGCCTGAAATCACAGGTAGTTATGATCTATACATACCATGTCTTTTCTATTCAAGCATATCTATGATATTTATTTCTAAATTCAGCACAGATGAGATATAGAATAATGATGAATAATAGACTTATAACAACATACTGTGATAAAAACTATATGAATGTGGTCTCTTTAAGTATGATGCTGTCCCTGTCTATTTCTGTCTCTATGTGTTTCTGTCTCTCTCCATGTCTCTCTACCCCTCTCTCCCTCTCTCTCTCTCATTTTCCATCTAGTATTTTCAGAATGTGAATGAACATGGGCAATTGAAATAACAGAAAATAAAATCATAGATAAGGAAGGATTAGCACATTGAGTTATGAGAAAGTTGAATGGGAGCATGTAACAAATGGGAAGATAGAATGAGAGTATGTAACAAACCCGACCTAACCTTATCAAGTGAAATAGTATAGTTTAGGTGAAATCTGGAAAATAAATAGGAAATTGGCAAGAGATAGAAAGCACAAGGGGGAGAGTGGTAAAATTCTCTTTAGAAAGAATAAATTATAGCAACAAACCCTGAGGAGAAAAACACCACTCTTGCTTCAGGAGGAGTAACTGAAAAACAAATAAGAAAAGGCCAGATTGCGTAAGACTTTCAGAGCAGGAGTAACTTTACCCTACAAGCAGCAGAAATCAAGGGAAGTCTGAGAGGTTCTGATTTATGTTTTTTTATTTCATTTTTTGTGAAAATACCATACAGAGGGGTTACAATTACATGAGCAAGGTAATTAGTACATTTCTTATCAAGCATTGTTTCATCCTCCTTTGTTTTTCCCCTACCATCCCTAAGTAATCATAGTAACATTATACAGACACAATTAATAAATGTTTGGATTTTAGGAGTTTGAAGAATTTTCAAAAGAGTAGTTTATTGTTAGCACACATGACTTTAGATTTATTAGAAATGGTGGCAGGCAAATTTCAAAGGTGCTCATCTTCCTTGATTTATTCACATGATTATATTACATTATGTGGCAGAGAGTTGTCACCTGTAACTTAGGTTACTAAATAGTTCGTTTTAGGAACCTAACCAGAACTGGCTAACTTACGCTGAGATGGAGAATCTGTAGAAAATAATTTTTAAAAGAACTAAAATGCTTCCTGGGAGCTGAGTGGCCCCTGGTTAGAAGTCAGAAATAAAGTCAGGCCTACAACTGCAAGCAACTGAATTCTTCCATTAGCTTGGCAGCAGATTCTTCCACAGAGATTCCATATGCCAGATTCCAGATACCTAGACTTCGGCTCTGTGCTATTCTACTAACACAGGCCAGACAATCCTACATAAACTTCAGGCCATAAGATAATAAATGAGTGCCATTATAGTGTTCATGGTCATCTTTTACCCAGCCACAGATACCTAGATCTTCTGAAGCTCTGTTAGAGTGACCCTTTGAGAAGAATTACCATCTAACTATTAAAAGTTGTCTCTTCCTAGCTTAAGAAAGGAAGGAGTCTAGGTTCTTTTGAGCTGCTCTAACAAAGTACCATCAACTCTGGCTTAGAAACAACAGCACTTACTTCTTCACCATTGTGTCTGAAATCAGCATGCTGGAGTTGTGTGGAAGGTTCTCTGCCAGGTTAGGTAGAGTCACCTTATGACAAGAGCACTTCTGTGGGGTCTCATGAGAACACCAATGCCATCTATGGCGTCTCCACCTTCCTGACTCCCAAAAGACTTTGTAGCACCATCCGCTGGGCGTTTGAACCACCCGAACTTCTGGGTTTAGACTTTCAGTCCGTAACAGCAAGCAGTGATGGTATATTTAACTTTGCTGCTGTGGAGTCTCCCTCTGGCAAGCTTTCACCGTAAGAAGTTCTAGGCCACTTCTGTCCACTTTCCACACGCCCACATGAGCCAAAATTAGATTAAAGCCAGAAAATGTGGGACCTTGCTTCAGTATTTGGTCCCATACCCCTCAATCCTGTAGGAAAGAATGTCCATCTCCACAAACTAATGGAAGCAATATGTTCATATTTTCTGGGAAAAATAAAAGGCTGGGCCAGCAAATTACGGATAACAAGAGGGCTTCTTTGATTTGACAATTGTTTATTTTTGACCAATAAGAATTGACCTTTGATTATTCAGGGGACTATGTGACATTCTTAGCCTACCTATATCCTTTCCCTTCATCTCTCACCTAGTTACTTTCAAATTCTACCTCTTGGAAATGTAAAAATGACAAATGAAGTAATCTCTCCAAGAATTCTGTCATTACATTTGGTTAAGACCTCAGGAAAATCAGGCACCAGTGGCTCACAGCTGTAATCCTAGCTGCTCAGGAGGCTGAAATCTGAGGCTTGTGGCTCAAAGCCAGCTAGAATCCGTGAGTCCCTTGAAACTTTTACCTTTGATAAACTACCCAAAATGTTGGAAGTGGACTGTGGCTCAAATGGTAGAGCATTGGTCTTGAGCAAAAAAAAACCTCAAGGACAGTGTCCAGGCCTTTCGTTCAGGAGTAGCACACCCTCACCCTCCAAAAACAAAAAGAGGAAGGAGGAGAAGGAGAAGGAAGATATCAGAAGACATCAAGTCTTTGTAGCTTATCACTAAGACCTCTTTATTATTCCTATTATAATTTGGAATACTGATCCATCCAACTTTTCAAGAACTCGAGTCCCAACCATTTACTCACTCTACCATTTTCTAGGGTCTCAAGACCTTCCCTGTATCTTCTCCAACTGATCTGTCTCTGAATGGGGAAAAATAGAAATTATGAAGAAGCAGAGCAGGAAGCTCACTCATAATTTCTTGACACCAAAAGTGATATACATCGCTTCCATTCACATTTTAACAGGAAGTAATATTAACCTGGCACCATCTAAACACAAATGAATTATGACCTAGCAGTATGCCTTGGTAAAAGTTAACATAGAAATTGGCAAGTCACAACACTTTGTCTTCCACAATAAGATAAGGTGAAATCGTTGGGTGCACCATAAATTTTAGTTACCTGTGTTGGCAGGTCCTTTTATCATGAATTGGAAAATATGCAGTTCTTGTCATTCTTGCTGCATGACAAAAATAATCCAGAAACCCAGTGCATAAAACAACAATTTTATTAAGGTTACAGAATCTGTGATTTCCAGATTCAGAAGAGAGAGAGAGCTTGCTTCTGTTCGATCTGGCCTGCAGGCCATTAAAGGTCTGTGAGATCACTTGGTACATGACAAGACAGACATATATGCTTTCCCTCGTGCTTTTCATACAGACTTTCTGCCGGTATTGATAGTTTCATATGGGCCACACATGTTGTTATAAGTATCCAAATAGTCCTTGGCAGAAAATAAAGAGTCTCTATCCATGAAGGAGTCTCTATTGTGACTCCAGTATGGCTTGGAATCATTTTTAGAGAACTCTCCTTTATGTATGTGGCAGCTCTTGCCAGACATCCATGAAAACATCAACTATTCACCAAGAACCTGCACATAGCCTCTCATGGGGCCTCAATTTTCTCACAGTGTAATATCCTCAAAGACTCAGATTTCTGACATGACAGTTGAGAGTGGCCAAAGCAATCCCAGAGGGGACACAGAGAAGCCACACTGCCTTTTATGACCTAGCATTGATCACTTCTGCTGTACTGTATTGGCTTATGAATCCACTAAAATCCACCCAAATTCAAGGAAGGAGGGCCAAGATTCCCCTCTCAATGGGAGTCTATCAAAATCATATGATAATAGAGCATATACAATGAGAAATATTATGATACCCAATTTTGGAAAATAAAATTTCCCAATACATTATTATAGAATGGCTGTATTCCACTTTTTTGTGCCTTGCAGAATAATGACCAGCAAACTATGACTCAGTTGCCTATGTTTCTGTAAACAAACTTGGAAATATGGCCAGGCCTATTTGGTAGCAGGGTTGCCTAGCTGCACAAGAGAATACATGATCTGTAAAGGTGAGAGAATTTACTCCCTGACCCTTTACAAAGGTTGTTGTAGGTAGAATGTTTAAGACGCACCTGGGTATTGCAATTCCCATGTTAGATTTCAAATCTCAGCTCTGGAGGTGACTGGTTAGCTGATTTTGAACGAACTACTTGTCCTCTCTAAACTGTCTATATAATTGGGAAAAGAGTAAAGTCGGTCAATGTGTTGTGAGCATTAAGTAAAATAATACATTATCAATGCATATTATATATTAGTATATAAATAATGTAATGTATTAATACATAATAAAGTAATATAAAATAACAAAATAAACATTCGGAAATGCTAAATGTTTTTATTAAAATTGCCTTAAGCTATCAGCTAAATCAATTGCCAATCCAAGTTAAATGCTTTCCTATGAAGTGTTACCAACTGAAACTTCCATCCGATCAAGGAATCCCATTTCATCTTTAACTGTTCTGCCTACTAAAAATGTCTTTCTTCCACTAGATTGAAATCTGTCCCTTTATAGGTCTATGCTATCAATCCTGCTGCCACCTCCTGAAGGTGTTATAAAGTATCTCTTCCAAATATTCAGTTCTTCAAATATTAGCCAAGGGCTTCTCTGAATTTTAGTTTCTTGTGACCATCTATTCTTTCTAATCCTTCTCCTGAGATGATTTTTATCTTTTGTTTCCAACTTCAATAATTCTCTTAATAAATGCATATAAAACACACAGAGAGCTGGAAAATGGTCTGTGGAAATGATATTTTGGTGAACTAGTATTTTGGTTCTATCCTTTTAAGAATCTATGTGTTCAAAAAGTTGGTTAAGCCCTTATAATGCAAATTTGTTTAGAAACTTTAACAGATTTTGTGAATCTTGTTAACAATTCCTTCGTGTGTAAAATTCATACTTCTTTTTCATTTACTTTCCTCTCTTGCAGGTGTGGATGTGTGGAGGAGAAATGTTTGATGTTCCATGTTCTAGAGTTGGCCATATCTACAGGAAGTATGTCCCTTACAAAGTTCCATCTGGGACTAGCCTGTCAAGAGTGAGTAACTGCATGAGACACCATAATCAGCTGAACATCTATTCTAACCTAAGCCACAGAAAGTTAGACACTTCCGTGTGTCAATGAGGTGCTTCATTCACAGTCACATAAATGACAGACAGCAGAGCAGGAGTATAAACTCAAGTCTCCAAAATTGATAATCAATTCTCTCTTTCTCTCTCTCTCTCTCTCTCTCTCTCTCTCACACACACACACACACACACACACACACACACACACACACTGTGAGAGAAGCATCAATGAGACAGGAGAAGGATGGAGAGTTAAACAGTCTTCTTTTTATAACAAAGACAAATTTGCTAAACGTTTGTATCCTCAAAGTGCCAAAATTGACCAAGTCTAGATTTATTTTCATTCTTGTTTTGGATAGACATTTGTGGACCAAATGGCTAGGATGCTTTTCTCTTCTGTCTCTCTGAATATGTTCATGTATAATGGGAAAGATAAGATCCCAGTACTTTCTCTAAACAATCCTGACAATTTCTTTGTTTCCAATTTACCTTCTTCATGACTGCATCTGTTCTCCTTATGGCAATATGAACTTGTTACTACATATTGGAAAATCTAAAAGAAAGGGGGAAAAAAGAATGTCTCACCATATCCCTTCATACCCTACTTCCCTAAGAGCCAAATCCTGTATTTTGAACAAGCAGATATGGTTTAATTTAGTCATAAGACGGAATGTACTTAAATCCTAAAACAAGAAGAACTCATAGGAAGGTGAAAGATTACACAATTTTGAGCATATATCATGCATCAGCTGTGTGGATAGCATAGCAGTTCAAAATATCTTAAAGATAACAATGTTCTGTCACTTACCAACTTTCATTCACTCATATACTCTCCAATCTGTGCCACCAGATGAATCATTCATTTGTAGGCTGGATGGTGGATGTTAGTCTGCAGTCAAAAGTAGAGTGAAAAGCTTGATGGAGAAAGTTGTGCTGATCTGAAAAAAAAAGGTTTATTTTCAAAAAATACAGTGTTGATATATTTCTGAGAAAGAAATGAAGTACTTTTCAAGGACTGTCGAAATGTAGAGAAAGTTGGGCTGGCACATAAAACATCCTGGGGAAAGGGAGTCTTCATTCAAATGAAAGAAGTCCATAATTCTGAATTTTAATCTTTTCCACTTAAATTTTACTCGAGGGCTCATTTTAATTTTTTTATAAACTGCTAGAGCAATCAGAATGTCATAAATATTGAAGCTCAGCTGTCACTCTAAGGAACACTTTATGATTTTTAAGTAAAAAAGTATATTAAAATGAAAAATAAAGTCTGATATATCATGGGAGAACTTCAACTACCTTGCTACACCCTACATTATTACTAATTCATCAGAAATGATGAGAAGCTGTCAAGGTGCTTGAAATTCTGATCCACACCTGCTTTATAGATATTTTAATCTTTGCAGACTCATTAGGTCATAGAGATGAAGCTGGTTTCCAAACCCCAAAGGCTTGTTTCAGTACTTTGCAAAACTCGTTCGGTTCCTCAAAAAATGTGTACTTTTTGTTTTCCTACTTGTAGACTGATGATTCCATACAACTTCAATCTCTCTGTCTCTGTCTCTCTCTCACACACACACGCACACATTCACACATACACACACACACACACACACACACACACACACACACACACACGATGTATGGCTAGCAAATAATCCATTAAACAGCATGAGATTGTAGAAATAAAACCAAAGAATATTATTCAATACTTTCTCTTTCCCCAGCATTACAATCTGTTTGGAAGAAAAGATGTCCATACAAGAACACCTTAGAAGACAATACAAGATAACATATGTCATGGCACTTGTAGAAATGTGGAGGTAGAGGGAGGAGAAAGCCATACCGTAGTTGGAAACTTCAGTCCTCTCAAATTAAAGGACTTGATAAGTTAAAGGACTTAATAAGTTTTAATTAATAAGTTTTAGAGAATACTGGTTCACAACCCAGAACCAATGACCAATGCCAACTTCTGAGCAAGTTTTCACCCAGCCTCAGTTTATTAAGAATTGAGTAAGAGATGGAGAACAGTTCCCCCATTGCTAAACACATGCTGACAGTAGCACAACTGTAGTCCCAAGAAGAATAACACAACCCATGAGATTTTCCCCCAGAAGAGTTCCCAGACCCCCTGGGAACTGACTGAACAGGACGGTCCTAGAAGCACAGCTGCCCCCTTGAGTGCCAATAGAAGACAAAGTTGGAATCCAATCTTATCCCAGGTCTGTAAGAGACACTACAACATGCAGATCTGAAGACTGTAGACTTTTACCTCGCACCCATGACAAAGCATTTATAATTTATTCTTTTTACTCTAAACTTTCACCTTGACTTTTATGGCAACCATTCAAGAACAGATTTTAGATTTTCCCAGTTCCAAGATAATAGGTAAAATTAAAGAAGTGAAATCTCTTAAAGGTCAAATTGTACAGGATGCTCCATAGTTCTTGAAAATGTTAAATTCATAGTACAAAAAAATAGAGGTTACATGGTGTATGCATAGTGAATGGTGAATGTAATCTGGAATTACGAATCATGGTCTGTCTAAGCTGGGTATCTGTGGCTCACATCTCTAATTCTTGCTACTCAGGAAACTGAGGCCTAAGGATCATGGTTCAAAACCATCCTGGGCAAGAAATTCTATGAGACTCTGATCTCCAATTAACTAACCAAAAGAAGCCAGAAGTCAAAGTATGGCTCAAGAGCTAGAGCTCCAGCCTTGAGCACTAAAGTTCAGGGACAGCATCCAGGTGCTGAGTTCAAGCCCCAAGACTAGCACAGATGCACGCACACTTGTGTGTCCAAAGTCCACACTCTTGTAATTCCAGTGCCTTATAGAATTAACAGGATCAGCTGGTACATTCACAGGCAAAACAGAAAGGGCAGGCATAAAGACTTACAAAGCGCTGTGTTTGAACCATAAATGTGCATTGGTGGCAGACTCTGAAGGACCCTTGGTGCAGACACAACATACCCTAGGGAGGTGCTGATAGTTTTTAAACTAGAAATGCCATGAAGAAAGTAGATGAGGGGGAAAGAAACCAAAAAGATGTACCAAAGGGGAGAGAGACAACAGAAAGTGACATTTTGAACTCCAGCAACATCCGTAAAAGAAAATCTCATCAAAGATCTTTATTGATTTGTTAAACTGTGCAAAGAAGGGAAGGTCAAATGTGACTATGAGGTTTTCATCTTGGCATCTAAGAGAAAACAGTACAGTGGAGAAAAAGAGAGGTTAGGAGAAAGGAGATGAGGCTGTGTTTGGTTTTAGATAAGGTGAATTTTAAGAAACAGCCTAGCCTAGCCTCTGATCAAGGAGGACAAACACAAAAATTCTCCAACAAAAATTCTAGAGCCTACAAAATCTTCTTCCAGAAATTTTTAGCTTAATATATTATATATATGTATATGATATCATACACACACACACACACACACACACACACACACACACAGTGACAGCACTATCCTAGCTCTAGGAATTCAAATGACGGGCCAATCAAACACAAATCATAAATTCTCTTAATTAATAGTGATTTAATAGAGTCCCCATAGTAACCTGTAATATCACAATGCTAGAATAATATGAAGATAGGAAAGAGTGAAATGAGGACAAACTTATTATGGCATCAGATCTGAAACTTGCATAGTTTGCTTATGTATAAGCTGTGTTCATGTTGATTAGCGTTAGTGCCATGATTAACACAAGAGGAAGTACATGTCATACAAAGCTAAAACATTTCTTAATATATGTATATATGGCTATTTTATATCCACAGGTTATATTTAATGACCCTATGGGCTACACTAACATGTACAAATTACAAATACATTCACTTCATGAACTCACTTAAGGCTCTTTGTTAAATTCAATGACCTTTGAAGATTTCCTGTGGCTCTTATACTTTATGTTCATGAAAGCTAAATTTGAGGTCTGAGGGATCTCAAATGGCTGCTTTGATTCTCTGTCAGTTATGAAATATCTCCTTCATATACTTCCCAAGATGACTTTCTTCCCTGGACATCTCCCTGATGACAACCAGCTCTCTGAACTTCATAAATCATCTCACATTCATGACACTGATGAGGGTGGAGAGAGTGGAAAGAGGAGAGGAAAAAATAAGGGCTTCAGGGGGAGAAGACAGACCACCCCAAGTTAATTATGAGCCCTTGGTTGCATGTGGTATAGAGAATCTCTCTCTCAACCTCTCTCTCTCTCTGAAGTCTCTAAAAGAGAAAAATACAACACTTCCCCTGCCCCTCTTGTCACCAAAAATAACAAATTGAAAAGACTAGTTTGATATCTGAGAACAAAAACATCCACAAAACTGTAATGGGGATGATGAATGGAAAACCTATATTCCCACCTATATTCCCACAAATTGACCTTTCTCCCCTCATGACTATGAATAGGTTTACTCTCATAAAACTGCACAGCAAATAAGAGCTATGGCATGACCATCTTACACACAGTGACAGCCAGAGCTTATGTCTTGTATTCTTAAAGACTATGGAGTTCAGATACTTTATGTGAAACTATCACTGAGTTCAGGGACATGGTGGCCTTTTGGGAGCATGTTCTCAGAAGCAGGAAATGATCAATTTTTCCCCAAGGACTCCACCCCATAAATGCTAAATCTGCTGTACAGAAGCTATCCCTCTGAAAACAATAACCATCTCTAATTTTTCCTGCAATATAACAAAAAAAGGCCAATATAGCTTTGCAACACTAGGGGTAAGAACTAAAGATGATTCACATACTGCCATCATGTGGATGCTTCCCTCTTGGCCACAAAATACATAGAATATCTGCCATCAAAAGAAAATACCTTTTATTATCTGCATCTTTCTATTTAAAATCTCAGTCTCCTTTCATGGGTGATAATCATAATTCTCCCTGTTATCTCCCTAAAAAAATTCATAAATATCATTATATGACAATATTGATCCAATAGATCATTGAATACCATA